CGGTCTACTAATCTTGGACGTGATGCCTATGTCATGATCATTGCCTGGATATCGTCATAATTATTTGAAGTTCTATCAATTGCCCAACAGTAATTTGTTTACCCACCGTTTGCTATTTTTCTCGAGAGACGCCACTAGTGAAACCTACGGCCCCCGGGTCTTCTTTCTCATATATTTGCCTTGCGATCTACTTTTCCTTTGCATTTTTATCCAGATCTATTAAACCAAAAATCCAAAAATACTTTTTGTACGCGAAATCCAAAAATACTTTGCTGCACTTTATTTTATTTGCTATCTATTATTTCAATCTATTACAACTTTCTCCCGTCAACATGCAATTTCTGGCGCCGTACCCCGGAAGGGATTGACAACCCCTTTAACACGTCGGGTTGCGAGGTGTTGTTGTTTGTGTGGAGGTGTTGTTTACGTTGTGTTGCTTGGTTCTCCTACTGGTTCGATACCTTGGTTTCATAACTGAGGGAAATACCTACCGTCGTTGTGCTACATCATCTCTCCCTCTCCAGGGAATTACTGACGTAGTTGCAGCTACCATCAAACACCACATAGTTGATGTCAGGGCTGACACCTTGAAATTGCATGCCTAGTGACAGACATGCAACTACCCCGTCCCTGACAAAACACCACAGAGTTGTTGTTTGGGCTGACACACCTTTCATTTGCATGCCTGATGGCAGACATGCAACTGGCCCTCCCCCTGCAGATAAAACACCATGGAGATGTACTCATCAGCGACACTTGTTGTTGCATGCCTAGTCACAAACGTGCAGTTTTCCGTCGTGACAAAAGCACCACATTGTTGATGTCAGGGATGGCACCTTGCAGTTGCATGCCTAGTGGTGGACATGCAATCATCTCTTCTCCGTCCAACAAAACACCGCATAGTTGCAAGTGCATGGAAGACATGCAGTTGTAGTCGGGACGACACATGTAGTTGCATGTTTAGTGGCATACATGCAATTGACCCGTCCGCTTGACTAAACACCACAAAGTTGCAACCCACGTTGAAGGCACGCAGTTGCAGTCAGGGACATCACTTCGGGTTGCATGCCTAGTGACAGGCATGCAACTACACTGTCCCCTTGACTATACACCACAAAGTTGCAATGTGTTGAAGGCATTCTACTGTAGTCGGGGATGATGCTTGTAGTTGCATGCATTGTGGTGGAAATGCAACTGCCTCTCCTCCGTCCGACAAAACAACATCGAGTTTGAATCGCGTGGAAGACATGCAGTTGCATTCGAGGCCGACACTTGCAGTTGCGCAACTAGTGATGAACATGCAACTAACCCCTCAGGTGACAAAAAACAGTACAGAGTTGTAGTCGTGTTGAAGACATGCAGTTGCATTTAGAGGCGACACTTGCAGTTGTGTGTCTAGTGCTGGACATGCAATTGCCTCTCCTCCGCCCGACAAAATACCACTGAGTTGCAACCACGTGGAAAGCATGCAGTTGCAGCCGAGGCGACACTTGCAATTGCGTGCCTAGTGGCGGTCATGCAACTTCTCCCTCCCGTGATAAAACACCACAGGGTTGCAGTCGGGGACGACACTTGCAGTTGTGTGCCTAGTGGCAGGCATGCAATTGCACCCCCTATGGAACACCACTAAGTGATCGCATTGAAGACACGTAGTTGTAGTCGGGTACGAACTTGCAGTTGCATGCCTAGTGACAGACATGCCATTGCCCGTCCCCTTGACTAAACACCAGAAAGTTGCAACCTCGTTGAAGACACACAGTTGCAGTCGGGGACAACACATGTAGTTGCATACATAGTGGTGGACATGCAATTACCTGTTCCTCCGCCCAACAATACACCACTAAGTTTGACCGGCGTGGAACACATGCAGTTGCATTCGGGGGCGACACATGCAGTTGCGCAACTAGTGACAAACATGCAACTAGCCCCTCACCTGATAAAAACAATACAAAAGTTGTAGTCGCGTTGAAGAGGTGCAGTTGCATTTAGGGGCGACACTTGCAGTTGCGTGTCTAGTGTTGGACATGCAATTACCTCTCCTTCGCTCGACAAACACCACTGAGTTACAACAGGGTGAAAGGCGTGCAGTTGCAGCCGGGGGTGACACTTGTGGTTGCATGCCTAGTGGCGGACATGCAAGTGCCCCTGTCGGTGTCAAACCCAGCAAATCTTGAGTAGGGGGTCTCAAACTATGGACCTCAGACCGAGGGGTAACAAGGAACGTAGAGACGGTGTTTACCTAGGTTCGGGCCCTCTCTAGGAGGTAAAACCCTATGTCCTGCTTGGTTGTATTAATGTGTTTGTATGAAGATTACATAGTTGATCTACCACGAGATCGGATGAACTAAACCCTAAATGGGATGGTAGTAATAGTTCTCTCTCCCACGGGCTAAACCCTCTGATTTATATAGACACCAGGGGTGCCTAGGGTTACACATGGTTGGTCACCATCATAGGATAAACATGCCGGTTTCGCTAATAAGATTTGAATGATACGTCAAGTGTTCGGAGATTTCCTTCCATAGTACGGGGTCGCCTGCAGACCGGCCTTCCTTTGATGAATCAAGAGTGGCCCATCAGTCTGGCCCATGAGAGATAGGTCGACAGCCCGAGGACCCCTTAGTCCAGGACACCCTCATTCCCTTCCCTGATAAAACACTACAGAGTTGCAGTCAGGGACGACATTTGCAGTTGTGTGCCTAGTGGCAGACATGCAACTGCACCCCCTACAAAACACCACTAAGTGGTCGCATTAACAACACACAGTTGCAGTTGGAGACGACATTTGCAGTTATGTGCCTAGTGACAGACATCCAACTACCCTTCTCCCAACAAAATTATAGTCACATTTATAGTTGCGCCTAATAGTAGGCATACAAGAAAAAGGTTTTAAAAAGAAACAAAAAATAAAATATAAATGAATTTAAAAGGAAATAAGGAAAATGTTTAAAAAGCAAATAAAAAGAAGAAAATATTAAAAAAACACCCATGTGAGAGAAAAAACAAAGAACCATGCCTATTACGTGCTTAAAAATGCGGCCCAAGCAACGACAACAAAAATGGCACACCTGCCCAGCCCACCAAGCAACGCTCGCACGCGACATGGCGAGACGAAAAAACAAAAGAAAGTAAACGGCCTGGTGCGCGCTTTATACAGGCCGAAACAAAGACAAACACACCCAACACGAATCTTTTAGTAAACAAAACATCAAATGGTTGACTGGTCGATTGAGACTTCGCGAAGTCTTAGTCACGTTAAAGACATATAGTTGCAGTCAGGGTGATTGCTCGACCAGATGATAAATATTTTAACATTCAAAAATAAAAGTTACAGTATTGTTTAATAAAAACGGAAAACAAAAACTGAAAATAAAAAGTGAAACAAAAATTAAAATAATAATAATAAAGAAAACAAGAAAAATAAAGAACAAAAAACAAAAAACAAAAAATAGCAAAATGGAAATAAACATGTGGAAAGAGGGGCGGAAGAACACGAAATTTAAAATATCAAATTTCTGTTTGCCAGGCCAGAAATGTTCAACGTTGCACATGCCCATCTCTTCTGCCAGTGTAAAAAGTTACAGCGCAACAAAACGATTGGGTGAAATCCTGACAAACAAAGAAAAAGACCCTTCACTGTGTCACCCAGCCCACCACAGAAAAAAGGCCGCTCCCACACAGAAAAACAAGACAAAGAGCAGGCCAACCCCAGAACTTCTCTACACGGGCCTGTTACACGAAATACCCAGCAGTGTGCTAATCTTGATGCAACAAATGATCAAACGGTGCAGGAACGAGACTTCGCGATGTCCGTCGACTGAGATTTAACAGCACCGTGAAGTATATTACAGTAATATCTAGTCAATGGTAGGATGTTAATGAAACAACAGATAAGCTCAGTTTGGCTAATGATCTTGACCAAATTGAGTGGTCTCTTGACAATAAATGCTATTCCCTCCGTCCGAAAATACTTGTCAAGGAAATGGCTAAAAATGAATATATCTATAACTAAGATATGTCTAGATACATTCATTTCTTCGACAAGTATTTTCGGACGGAAGGAAGGAGTAGTAGATAATAGAAAAACTTCTTAGCACATTTTCCTCTTATGTCCCGTGGCCAGATTGACTTGGCGCACGGTTGGATCGATGCTTGGCAGCGAATTGTGCGCCAACAACATCCGGCAGTTCTACTCCTGGTGTTATATCTTTTTGCCTAATGATGATTTTTTTTTCTTATATACAATTGGTCTTGTTGCTATTTGGTGGGCCATTTGGAACTGTCGAAATTGTGCTACCTTTGAGTTTAAACATCCTAGAACTCCAGAAAACAACCGCTGATTTGCAGCTTGTATGAATTTGATATCATGGGCAGGACTGCTGAATTTGTGCTGCTGCGCATGATGATGATGGTTGATGGGGATATGGAGTACGGCGTCTGTTCTTCAGATCCATTGGCTTCATAGTGCTTTATTGTCTACGTTTTGTTCCTGCTCTAGTTATCGTACTGTGCCCCTGCGTGGGTCGTTGCCTTGATAGGTTAGTTTCGTGCAAACTTGGTCAAACTCAACAAGCAAAAAAAGGGGATATTTCACATACACCTTAGCCAAGGATAATATCACACATTCCAATGCACAGCCACCGTCTTGTATAGTAGAACAAGCTCAAAGAAAATGTTTAGAGTTCCAACGAGAGAAAATACAGCCATATTTGAAGATTGACATTAAGAAAAACTTGAAAGAGCATAGGTGCCCCATGAATTCCAACTCCAAGCACATGTAAAGAGCATGTCGATAATTTGTCTTATTGAACATTTGAAATGAGCACATGTAAAGGCCAGTCTCACACTTAAGACGGGGAAAGGAAAAGGAAAAAAGGGACTGAGTAGCTCAACTCAGCGACCAGCGATGGGGCCCTACCGACGTATTGCTCGCTATTAACCAACGAGCAACAAAAAGAAGTTTCCCAATGTTTTCTTTTCTACTGTACCATTCCTTCTCTCTACTCTACCATTCCGCGCTGCTTGAAAAGTTCGAACATGGTTGAACCGATCTTAGCTGGTGACTCGACAACAGTAACCCCAGCATCCCTGAGTGCCTTGATCTTGTCTTGGGCGGTACCCTTTCCCCCTGACACAATTGCTGCATCATGCAAGAAATATATCCATAGATTAGCACTCGTAACAGTTGAACGCCATTGCAAATAATAAAGTAATGCAGCAATTTTGTTTTTATGGTTTAATTATATTGAGAATCACAGCAAAAGAGTTGAGAAAATAAAGCAGATTGTCACCATAGAAACGGTGCGTGTGAAACAGTTCCAAAACACACAAAATCCATACATAATTGCCAATCATTTTAGTAAATGAACAGAGACAAGCATTGCTCATTGCTCGGCTAACAAAGTATTTGGCACCACGAAAAAAATAGATGGCAAAGTGGGCAACAGGGTCTGATAAAGCTATGTAGGAGTATAAACCAGGTCCAAAATACTGTTTTGCTACTTTACCAATTAAATTGTACAAGTGCTCATACTCTGTACTGGAATAAACTAACAACCATTAGAGTTATGATTCAATACCACACCCACCAGGGTGAGACTTCCATACTCAAATCTGAAAACTTCTTAAGTATTTATCTTTTGTTATCTGTCGCTTATTGCACAACAGAATAATATATATACATGTTCTTCCTGAAGAATCTGAACTACCATTGACAAGGGGGGAGGGGGGGGGTGTATTGGATAGCTACAGATAACTAATGAACAATTGGTAACGTAACCCTCAAGGGCATCTTGTCTCCAAATACCAAGAGAGAAACCTAGTTCAACTTAATACGCCCAAAGATATATACAATTGACAAAGGAAATAAATAGTGAACTTGTTGTTATGTCAATACCTCCAGCATGGCCCATACGACGGCCCGGGGGTGCAGTAAGTCCAGCTATGAATGCAACGACGGGCTTTTCTGTTTTGCTCTCCTGAATCATTTGCATGTCAAGTCAGATTAGTTGACCAGAAATGTTACTTAAAGCATGCATCTAATCAAAAGAAATAAAAAAAGAGTTCTAGCAAGTAGACACGTGCTATATTATAACATGGAATATCAGCAGTGCCTACTTATCATGTGTCACTTCACAACACTAAGAAAGCATCAGGACACAATTTTAACTTGTAAACCAGGCCAGATACAATCTAAGTCTTCACATGTCAAAAGACCATGAAAACTAATAATAGTGGGGTGGCCTACTTGGAACTTACTGAAACTGAATCATCTTCTTTTGCTAGTGATAAAGGGTTGGGTCGCATGATAAAATGAGCTATATAAAGCTTAGAAGTGTGCGTGCTTACCAGCTCTTAAACCAGACAAATTTTGAGCTTGCCTAATAAGGCATATTAAATTACAAACATGCATTATCTAAATGTTACACCAGAAGGGCTTTTAAGACTTATCAATGCATCTTTTATGGCAAGATCATGATCATATAAATGAACATTGATAATACAATACATGCTACAAAAGTATGGCTTTCTAATTGCCACCAAGCTTGAACTGCAATACAGGATATAAAGAAGCATGCTACTCCCTCGGTCCCAAAGTAAGTGTCGCTGATTTAGTACAAGAGGGACTACTATTTAGAAAATGCAAGGATGCTAAGAAGCAGAACATGCAACAAGGAAAAGGCTATCCCAATAAAACTCTCACCTGGATAAAGGCTGCAGCATCCTCCTCAGCAGTACCTCCAATTTCTCCAATGAGAACAATACCTAAAAAGCACATACCAATTTTACCAATGAGAACAATACTTAAGAGGGATATAACAGCGTTAACAGATGAGAACATTAACTGGAAGACACAGTATTAAAGAATGTAACAGGACGTTCATATGCATTAACTACTATAAAAGGGATCAACGGCACACAGAAGTCACAAATCAGGGAGCTTCGTTCTGTTATATTACTAATTTCCTTCAAAGGTATCAACACAGGCCCAGAGCAAACAATTGGTGGGGTGCCGTCATGTGGGCATATACAAAGGTACATAACTAAAGCAGTAAAGATGAAGGTCTACTTATTTGTCCTATCAACACATGGGAGCCACAATGGTTTCACATAGAGATTGCAAACTAATCATGCTGGTGACCTAGTACCAATAAAGGGGAAATTGGGAAATCTGACAAATAAATGAAAGAATCAATAGCTTTTCTGAATAATGTAGATGCCCAGCAAGAACTAATGTACCTTCTGTCTGAGGATCATCAACAAACTTTTCAAGGCAGTCAACAAAATTAGTGCCGTTAAAGGGGTCACCACCCATGCCCACACAAGTTGACTGCCCCAATCCTACGGCTGTTGTTTGAAACACCTATCGATAAGAAAGAAATACAGGTCAGGCAAATGCATTCAATGGTTAAAGCAAGTCTACAATAATGGGCATACCGCTTCATATGTCAAGGTACCAGAACGAGATACTATTCCAATGCGTCCCGGTTTGTGGATGTAACCTGGCATGATTCCAATCTTACATTCACCTGGCTTAATGATACCAGGGCAGTTTGGTCCGATCAATCTGGTTTTTGATTGCCTGTTCAGAGCAGCCTTCACTTTCACCTGGAATTAAGAAAGGGAGCATTCTGATGACTTCACTAAGGTCTTAACGAAGCAAAACAAAACTGAAAGAAATTATCTAAACGGTGAGAAAGATAAACACATAATTATGATGTGGTATGGATTATTAACATTGTGCACTTAATATCAATAAATTAACTGCCAAATGGTTCAGGACAAAATTGCACATGAAGTATAAGTAAAACCTAAACCCGTTCAATGTGTGCCTATCTGCATATAGCTAGCTACATATCCATATGTATTTAGTGACACTGATCAAGTTATAGCCAAAGGAAACACAAATGGCATCACAAAAATTATTATGCTCAGATACACAGCAAACAATGTGCTTAGTGATGTACATAATTGTTAAAAATACCATACCATGTCATGCTGAGGTATCCCTTCAGTAATGCAGACAACAAGGTCAAGCTCTGCTTCCAATGCCTCCATTATTGCAGCGGCAGCAAATGGTGGTGGAACATATATAACAGATGCATTGGCCTTTGTCTCGGCCTTAGCTTCTGCTACCGAGTTGAAAACTGGAAGGCCTAGGTGCTCAGTTCCACCTTTCTTGGGAGTAACTCCACCCACCTGTTCAATGCAAAGTACTTAAGTTAAAAGGGCATCATTTGATGAAAACCATAGAAGAGACATAATAATTAGTTGAAGATGATTATATTTTAAAAATCAAGCTACATATCTATATATCTTAAGGCTTAAGAGAAGTCCAAACAACCTTACAGAAACATGCCAGTGCCTTGATTTGATGGTACAAAGGTATCTTTGCAGATGCATTCATAAGACAACTAATAATTAGCATGTAGTGTCAGTATGTCACTGTTACAACCAGTATGCGACAGTTAACTGTGAGCTCCTGGTCAAGGATGTAGTAATGGGATTAGAACCTGCAACCTGCCCAGGTGAGGCTCTCGGAATGCATACATAATTCTCACCATCCACATGACAGTTTTTTTTTCCTCGTACGCACCAGCATTTTCCTCGTACGCCCTGCCCGAATTGCTACCAATAATATCAAAAGTAAAATATGACTCGATGTCTCCACCCCACTTATTGAAGAATTCTAGCATTACAATACATAACATTTAGTTCGGTTCGATTTTCCATAGCAGCTTGAAAATACAGGGCGTGCATCATGGAAATTGTTCCTCAAACTCTTTTTAAGTTTAGATCGAGCAGGCCCTAGATTTACAAAACATATGGGAACCCATAAAAACCGTGTTCTCCATGTTTTGCTGTCTGATGAGTCATAATAAAATACCGAAGTCCTGGCTGCAAACTGAAGAATGCCCCTGGAACAACACATCGATAAGAGACGAAACCCTAAAAGGCGGAAAATGGAGATCGACAGCCGCCCACCCACGAGATCGTGCATTGTCGACTGTATCTCTCAATCTCAAACCCTAGAACCGCACTAGAGAGGAGGAAATGAACGGATCGAGCAATACATCGAGGAGGGAGGCCGCGCGGGGGACATACCATGTTGGTGCCGTACTCGATGGCCTGCTCGGTGTGGAAGGTGCCGTTCTTTCCGGTGATGCCCTGGCAGATCACGCGGGTGCTCTTGTCGACGAAGACCGCCGGAGAGGGCGCGGCGGCGGCGGCCGCGTAGGCACGCGAATGGAGGAGGCGGGAGGCGGCGGAGCCCAGCATCTGGGACGCGCGGCGGGAGGAGGCGGCCATGGCGATGTGCTTGGCCTGGCGGCGGCGCGTGCTCCTCTCTTTCCTCTCTCCTCTCGATTCGATTTCGTTTGGGGCTCGGTCTACTTTCCTCAGTTTTCTGGGGCCTCGCGATCCATTCTTGCAGGAGAAGTTGGGGGGTCAAACTTCGGCCTGGGCCCCTGCGTTTGTCGCTATTTCCGGAAGCTAACACATGGATGACTATTTCCAAAGCATGCGGGAAAGCGGCTTTGGTCAATACGTTTTACGGTTGATAGAGGCGAACGGCGGAATGGCCTAGGGCATCTCCGGCTTCTTTCGTCAGAACGGACACCCCAAGTATTCCATACATGTTCGGACATGTCCGTGGATAAGGATAGAGGCCACAGCCATCCAACCATATCCTATATACTTAAGAAGTTCACCTCACTATCTAATTTATCTTCACATGCAAGCTATCCACCTCAGCCATGCAGCCACATCATCCCATCTAATGATTTTCGTTTGAGGTCCATGCACCACATCATCCCTTTTCCCTCTGCCTCCCAGCACGCATGTCCACATGGGTTGTACTTATCCCCGACCAGTTAAGTGCCCTTCAATATTTTTCTATCTCTAGATTATTCATCTTCTCCATCGAATAAAAGCAGCCCTTTCCTGTTCGTCTTCTGTAACCGCAAACCATCCAGCGAACATAAATAGCTACGCATTGCTTCCTGCTTGAAGCGCCAAGTGCAGCCACAGCCTGCCTCTCGCCTTCCTATCGGTGTTGCATCACGAGGGCCCTCACAATACCCCAATCCAGCTCCTTCGTCCCACTTCCCGGCCCATCCACTCTTCTCCCGATCTAGCCCCTGCACGAGGAGGACTGGAGGAGGAAGAGGAGGAGGATCGTGAGGTGGAGAATTCCAGCCGACCAGCACCCCCTACCCCCGCCATGGCGAGGCCTCCGTTTCCGATTCATAGGTAGACAACTACGTCGTTGCTTCATCTCTACCAAGGTGATTCTGTTCCGCTCCCGCACAACGTCGGAGAACCCCGCACGGATAGCTCCGCAGGTTGACGGCGAGGACGGCGAGTTGATATTTGTCGCTTCATCTAAACCGTGACCGAAACCAATCTTCTCCTCCATGCCATCGGGAATCCCACGTTAGGGCCGATCTGCTCCAACACACACGGTTGTCGTGACATGGTGACAGCCACGAGCATGGTATCCACAAATCTTTTTTTCCTCTTCCTTCTTTTTGTGGATTTAGCTGGTTGATGCATCTATGTTCTGCGGATTCTTCTTCCATTGTTCAACTATTGTTGCCGCCGTTATCCATCCGGGGATGGTATATTTATAGTAAGCGTTGCTCTGACTTTCACACATACAGCCTGAGAAGTGTATTCATCGGTAAACTGCATCATCAGTTTTTCATTTCACAACTGTCAATCAAGCCATTCTGATGTTGGTCTTTTACTTGGTACAAATAAAATTTTGTCCAATATGTTCACCGAAACGAGCAGCTAGCTACTGTTGTCTCGGTGATTAAAGGTAAAATTATCTTTATGGCCCAGTTTAAATTATACAAATATTTAACATGTATACTGGGTCATTCTGTTTTGGGTGTTCTTGACTCATCTGATGCTGTGAACATGTTGACTGTTTTGGGTGTTCTTGACTCATGATGTGAACGTGTTGAGTGTTTTGGGTGTTCTTGACTCATCTGATGATGTGAAAGACAATACAGAATGACCTGATGCATTTATAGTTTCTTTTTGTTGGAAACAAGTTCTGACTTCAACGGGATATTTTCAGTCTCGGTTCTTATGATAAGTACTCATGCTCTTTTGAGACAAAGAAATTGATACTCACTTTGGTGAAAATGAGTGAGAAAGGAATTTGTTATTTTTGTCGATATTGGAGGTCCACTATTCACTATAACGTATTGAGAGCGACTATAATGGCCAATATTTGTATTTAGTTATCATTCTTTGTGTAGATCGTAAGCATGCATATATGAAAATTGATTTATGACAATAACTACTATAACTAACCCAGAAAGGCCTTTGTACATCACCTTTCATATTGTGTCTATTTCAGAATCCCAGTTAGCGTCTTCATATACGATTGTATTCATGTAAGTCCCAGAGATTGCCTATATGTCCTATGTTTAGTAAAAACAATGATTGCGTAATTCACATTTTGCAATATTTATATTTATACCAAGTATTGTGTCCATTGCAAAAAACATATCTTAAGTATGTAAATACACTATGCAAAATGTTGTTCAATTTGTCAACCATCATGGTTATAGACTAAGAGTTCCCGCAGCAACGCGCGAGGTATCATCTAGTTCGTTAAATGTTCGCCTATGTTTTTCTAATATTCGGGACACTTAAATAATTAAAAATAAAATCATCAATGGTCTATGCATATCTTACATTTTTAAGAAGTTGATTCCCACTATTTTCAATTCTCTAAACATGTAGACTGTCCACGTCAGCCTTCTGCCATGTCATCCTTCGGTTTGATTACCCATCGATCTGATTCCATCATGGCGGTGAAAAAAGGCCGAGTTCGGCTTCATTTCCCTGATTGATTACCCATCAAATGAATGCGCCTGAACCGCTTACTCTGCATTTCAGTTTATTCCCACCATAAGGGCATATACAATGGTGGCATATGGATACATATGCCCCATGACAAAAAGTAATTTGAAGTATTTACATTAATTTTTTTCTCTCCAATGCAAGCTATCATTAGTGACTCTAGTACACATGCATCTCTACTTTTCACTCCAACCTTTTCAGCTTTTGTCACCGGACCACACTTTTTCTTTTCACAAGCACCCGCCTCGTGGGGAGGATCCCGCTTCCCTATTCGAACCTACTTTACGTCATATCCGATTCTAGATGGCATGGTAGGCATCACCTTAAGGCTATGCATTGTACATGCCCTAAATCTTTCCCCAATCCTCACGCTGTGGCGGCTGGGCGACAATCTTTACACAGGAGGGTGTTCCTCCGGCTCTGACCACTGGTCCGCTTGTGTCAAGTCCGCCGGTGTTACTCCCCTTGGACGCCGCCCTACGACATGTGACGCCGGCGGAGCTGCGGATCCATCGCCGCCCATCGATAACGCACGGCTCTGCTCTAGGCCCTCCTCACGCCGGAAGCAGTCATCCCGCCGCGGCGCCCGATCCGGAAAAGAGTTCGCGTTACTGTGGGAGGAGCTCGGGAAGGAGAAGCTCGTGGGACGGCAGGCATCCACGAGCGCTGTCTGTTCCTCTGCTACAAGGGCCCCGCCTCCCCCACCTCCTCATTGCTACCATCAAGTGCTCCACCATCTGTATCCCCTTCCCCTTCCTCTCCTCTCTGCAGGAGCGGCGAAGCTCAGCCTGCCAGTCGCTGCTAGGGGTTGACGTTTCTAACACTACGGTCTCAGTTGGTGGAGCAGTACATCTAGCATCAATGCATCATAGATTTTCTCTTCAGTAGTAGATGTGACATCAGTGGCCTGGCGAGTCCTTGTGTGCTTTCGTTAGAGCAACTCCAACGGGCCGACCCAAACGGACGGCGATTTTGTCTGCTTTTTGTTCGTTTGGGTCGGCCGCCCACCCGGCGTCCGCTCTGTTTTTCATATGGGTCGACAGCGCGCCCAACGCGCCGACCCATATGTGCAGGCGTGGCCAGCTAGCCGCCCAATTTTGCATTGCATTCAACATATTGTGAAATGAAAATTTAACAAACAAAATAGTCCACCCAAATAAATAGTATAGTTTTACAGGCCAAACAAAAATAAAAATGTTTCACGTAGTTTTGCAAACGAATAAAAAAAGATACACCTATTGGTTGCCAACATGAGTCCACATATGCTCAACCAAATCATTTTGCAGTTGCACGTGAGTTCCCCAATCACGCATGTCTTCATGAAACTGAGTGAACTACTCAAATGTTGCCGCTACTCAATGCTCGGGCACAACATTCTCACCCTGAAACTGAAAGCCTTGATCGTACAGACGTTCCGGGCGCTCATCTTCTACGATCATATTATGCATGATCACACAAGAAGTCATCACCTCCCATAGTTTCTGCGTGCTCCAAGTATTAGCAGGATACCGAACGATGCCCCATCGAGATTGCAAAACACCAAAGGCACGCTCGACATCCTTTCTAGCACTCTCTTGCTCTTGGGCAAATCTTTTCATTTTCTCTCCAACAGGGTTGGGTATTGTCTTTACAATAGTAGTCCACTGAGGATAGATATCGTCACCCAAATAGTACCCTTTGTCGTAGTTGTGGTCGTTGACAGTAAAGTTCACCGGTGGGCTGTTGCCTTCGGCAAGCCTAGCAAACACCGGCGAGCACTGAAGCACGTTGATATCATTGTGTGATCAAGCCATGCCAAAGAAAGAGTGCCAGATCCAGAGATCTTGAGACGCCACGGCCTCTAGTATGACAGTGCAAGCCCTGACATGTCCCTTATACTGCCCTTGCCAAGCAGAAGGGCAGTTCTTCCACTCCCAGTGCATGCAGTCTATGCTGCCAAGCATCCTCGGGAAGCCCCTGCTAGCATTCATTGCCAACAAACGGGCTGTATCTGCAGATGTCGGCTCTCTCAAGTACTCAGGGCCAAACACAGCAATCACAGCCTTGCAGAATTTATACAGGGACTCTAGGCATGTAGACTCTCTCATACGGACGTACTCGTCAATGAGATCACCGGGCACTCCGTACGCAAGCATTCGGATGGCGGCAGTGCATTTCTGATAAGAGGAGAAACCAATCTTGCCGACGGCATCCTCTTTGCACTCGAAGTAGTCATCATAGCCGACCACTCCCTCTCTAATACGGTTGAAAACATGCCTACTCATACGGAACCGGCGGCGAAATTTGTGATGTTTGAACAGCGGGTTTGTTGTATCAAAGTAGTCCTGCCAGAAAAGGAAATGCCCGCTCTCTCGGTTACGATTCAACGCCGGAAGGTGGCCTGGAATGGAGCCACGGAACAACGACCGCTGGTTGTTGAGGTGGTGATG